GATTGGTTGTTTTGATCAGAACAGTGCATTACTTTAGCCAGCAATAGTAATTCAGGAAGGAGATGGAGGAGATTGATTGTTTTCACAGATTATCTGTCTCATAACAAACTGCTACAACATGGTGACAGCTTTAACAAATATGGAGAAAACATATTTTTTATTCAAGTTATGTACTGCAGCTTGAATAAAATGCAAATACATAGCATTTTTGAGAAGTCTGGATTGCTTTATGTGTAGTTGCATGTTGCTTTTGCCTATTGCTCATGGGGAGAGACATTTCAGTAATCTAAAACTAATAGAAAAAATTTAAGCAACCTATTGCATACTGGATGTGGACTGTTGGATGTAAAATTCATGAGCAGTAAATACTGTACTAGTATCAGTATCTGGCCACAGAACGCAAGGCAGTTGCAAGCCTTTAAAATTGTGACACTTTTTATGGGTCAAATAGACTCAAAACATTGTAACAGCAGCTGCGCAGGGGGACACAATCTAACTTTTCGGCAGGGGGCCCAAGATTCCTGGCAGCGCCCCTGATCACACATACTTTTTGAGAATTTGAAAACAGTTGCTCTTTATTTCCCAAAGTTATGGGCAGAGGAGAGAATGGATATTTCTGCTGCCTGAAATAATCTGTTCCCCCTCCATAAAATGGAAACTGTCATGTTCCGTGTTTCTGTATGTTTGTTTTTGAGTTTTCTGTGTTCAGTCCTGTTTTCCTGTGAGTCTCTGTCCTGTCCTCCCCGTTGATTGCTCCCTGGTGTGTCTCATTCCCCTGATTACCCCGTGTGTATTTAAACCCTCCTGTTGTCTGTGTTCCTCGTCGGGTCCTTGTCGTCGTTCGTCATCGTCTTTGCTTTGTAGCACTCGCCAGTAGAACTGTTAAGTCCTGCACTGTAAAAAAAAACTGTAAAAAAACTGGTAAATGTACCGTAGAAATTTGAAGGAAGTTTTCCGTTTTTTAGTTTTACAGGTATTTCTACTGTATTTTCAATTTTACGCATTGCATCATGGGAACAAGAACCTTCGCGAAGCGCGAAAACTGGTCAGACGACATTTCAAGCTCCCTAGTCGGACCCTGCAACATATATCTTTTGGACTTCGGTTGGATTAAAAGTTGGATTTGCCTTTCTGCTACCTCACTGGTAAAGTAAAATAAATAAGAACACTTTCTTTTCTATGAATAATATTTTTGAAATATTTGTAGTTGACTTCGTGAGACTCCTGGCACACCAGGAGTCTCACGATAATTTCTACCTTTTTTTTTTTTTTAACAATGCTGCGTTTGCTTGTGTATTATAAAAGTAAAACACAGTGACTGTTGTATTACTATTATTTATTTATTTTACCGAACTCAAAGTACCGGCCATTTTTTCTAGTCAAACTGAACTGGGCGCGTGAAAGCTAACCGTTCATGGCGTCATGCTACTTGTGTCTCAATCCTGCTTTTTAAAAAATGTCAAGCTGCAGTTGTTTTATTTGCTAAACATGATTTGATGTCCCGGTTGTTAACATAAAAGCAGGTGGCCATTTAACTTCGGTAAATATACTTTCGATGTCAAGTTTGGGGTTTTAGAATATGGGAAATGTCGCCTGGAGTAGGGGGTAGTTAGAGGTGGTGGAGAGTAGTGGGGTGCGGGGGGGAGTGTGGTCGAACGATGAACGAACGTAAACTGGGACCGGGGGTAGCGGGAGCAGCCGTTAGACCAGGGGACGGACGAACGAACGTAATGGGGGCGGAGGGAAACCGTTCGAGGGGACGACCTTAAGACTGGGGTGGGTACGGCTCGTGTTTCAGTTAGCGTTAAATTTGTTGCATGTTCGGTGATCTAATCAGGCATGTTGAGATTAGGTTAGGTTGATTAACTGTTACAGTGGGTCAGAAGCTTCTTGCCTCATATAAATTGTAAGTCAGTGGATCGTACATACAGATAGTTAATTTTCCTGTTTCTGAAATAGGAATAAACATCACTGAGAGTAAATAAGTGACTTTTGCAAAAAAAAAAAAGCCTGCTTGCAAACTCATTATCGGTTATTGTAGCTTAGCTTAAAAACTATATAACTAGTACTGTTCTAAATTTGTTGTCAGAACAAATGATTTCATTTATTTGTTAAAAAAACAAATGATTGATTTAATCATTGGAAGACTTGCATGTTTTGGTGTTTATATGTTTTTCTCCTTGTATAGTTATTTTGTTTTCTCTCTTCAACAGCTGCCTCCAGACACTCCTGAACTTTTCCTGGCAAGCAACTATGCATCTTTACAATAGGTGTGTACATTTGTTTTTGTTTCATTCAACCTGTTAAACCTTTAGTTTAAATTAAGAAATGTGTGGTCTTTTCTACAATAATATAGACATAATGTTTTGTTGTATCTTTCTAATAATGTCTAACACAGCACTATGTAACTTATGATACAGTTTTTTTTTTTACATATTTGTTGAAGCTGTCACTGTGTCCTGATATTGCATGAGAGATAATGTGTGGAAAAAACATGTAGCTCTTCTGTTAGCCAGTGCTAACTGGATTCAAACAGTCAGAACCAGGAGGCAGGTGTTAGCGTGTCAATCACAAACTCTTGTGGTGCTGCTCATCCCACTTCTCCCAGATCTCTTGCGTTTGGCTACGCTACAGCTAACGGAACCTGTCAAGAATGTTAAGGTTAGTTATCATGGACACCAATGACGGTGGATAAATGGTTTTCCTGTAATGGTAAATTGATTGAC